TCTATCGATACTTCCACGGGAAATGTTCTTCGGAAATCTCTGCTATCATCCCTTCACTAGCAATACCAGTCAGACGAACTAGACAAGCCCAGTCAGCACATCCCTTCGTTGTCAACCTCGAAAGATGCCGAACAGCACTTTATCAGAACTCCTTCATCCATAGAACGGCTAGGCTCTGGAATTCATTGCCTGTGGAAGTGTTCCCAACAACATATAATCTCCAGAAGTTCAAAAAGAATTCCAATACCTACCTCCTATCCCTATCCTCCCTAGGAACGCACGATGTTCTTTGAACATTATAGGGATTCCCTCTCGTGCGCTCCAAGCGATAAAAAAAAAAAAAAAAAAAAAAAAAAAAGACGAAAGTGAAATCGAAGAGAATGTTCTGGTACTTGATATCTCCAAGAAGTGTAAGAATGAAGCATCCATCTTTGAGACCAATTTATTTATTCTGCGCTGAGCATGACAATAAACGTGAAACAAAGGTTAGTAAGCAATGAACTGGACACATCTACACCCAATATCACTTATACGTGTCTCGCTGGTTGCATGCAGTTGCATGTATTATGTTCTCAATTCCCATTCCTTTCGAATTATTTTGTAGGTTAGCAGGAATTGCAGGTATCTTAATGTAATTTCCGGAGTTCGTAGAAAAATCATAGTATGTAACGCGTTTATAAACTCTTCTAGACACTCGTTTATTAAACACTCGCTCCGCTCTGCTCCGCTCGTGCTTAAACTACTCGTTACTAAAAAGACGCTTATAACACTTGTTACATAATATACTATTTTCTACTCACATAACTAAAATGGCATTTAGCGTACGGATATGTACCACGCTAAATGATCGATTAATCACGGATTGTCGATCTGTGATTTATTCAAAATATTAAACACGTTACCATGGCAACACAATTTCTTAAACACATTACCATGGCAACGCAGTTCATTAAACACAGCTTCAGTAATTTGAGACATGTCTGGCCTGTCAATTATATTAACTGTCAACTGTTATTTTCAAATTTTGCATCAGAATTATTCAAACAATATTCGTTTGTATCAGAATTCTTCATTAAAAATATATGCGAAAAGTAGACGAAAGTGAAATCGAAGAGAATGTTCTGGTACTTGCATATCTCCAAGAAGTGTAAGAATGAAGCATCCATCTTTGAGAACAATTTATACTGCGCTAAGCATGACAAACGTGAAACAAAGGTTAGTAAGCAATGGACTGGAACGACTGGACACATCTACAACCAATATCACTTATACGTGTCTCGCTGGTTGCATGCAGTTGCATGTATTATGTTCTCAATTCCCATTCCTTTCGAATTATTTTGTAGGTTAGCGGGAATTGCAGGTATGTTAATGTAATTTTCGGAGTTCGTAGAAAAATCATAGTATGTAACGCGTTTATAAACTCTTCTAGACACTCGTTTATTAAACACTCGCTCCGCTCGTGCTTAAACTACTCGTTACTAAAAGGACGTTTATAACACTTGTTACATAATATATTATTATTTAACATCAAATAAAGTTCATCAAAATGGTTTGGTGTACCATGATCCTGTAACACCCGGTAAAGACAATCTATTTCTTTTATTTGCTTTCGTTTCATCCTATTTTCTGTGAGAAAATCAATGCGAAGAGTTGAATGGTTTTCGTTTTTCGAGGTTTCTTAATAGTTCCTCAAAATCCATCCTTGGTGATAAATATAATCTTTCCAAATACAACTCTTCTTCAAATCTCATCAGATAATTTTTCATTTCCATCACTCAAACTTCTTCGTTTGAGGCAGAACCATTCAAATAAACTGAATTTAGATAAAATCAGTCGTCCTAAAGGACTCGTGAGTTTATCAATCGGTTTCGTTTTCATATTTTTACCAAATGAACAAGTTTCCGTGAAAAAATAGATACCATTTCAAGGACTCCTGTTATTTCCTTTTGTTAATTCCCTGGGAATATTATCATCATGTAGGTATAGTTCTTCATGAGCCTCATTCAACTTCTCATAAAGAATTATTACAATAATTCATGGAATACACATTATGATTTCATGAATGTTCGCTGAACCTCGAAGCATTAAAACATGTTTAAAGTTCAGCGATTTCCAAATGAATAGACATTACACAAATTACACAACCATTTGTGGGCGTTAGTAGAAATCCGAAGCCAAATGAAGCGAATGAAGATTTTAAATTCCCTATATTATAGCGATTTACAATTGAAAACCCAATAATTTTTATCCATAGACGTTCAGATTTGTAAACATCGCAAAAATACAGTTATTCATCATGCATAATTGTTTGTTGATAGTGTCTCAGAAAAAGTAGGCAATCTCCCGGAAGTTCCGGGTATGAATAGCGAAATAATTGGAGTTTTCGATTCGAAATTATAGAAAATAAATGCCCAAAGAACAATAAACATTCAAGAAATTATAGGTCTTTATATCCTGAAACATCTGTCAACTACGGTATTTTCTGGCCTATTAATTAAATCGTCACTTTATTGGCCACTAATTGGCCATTCCGAGGGTCATTCTAAAGAGAAGTTGTGATTTTCAGGAATACGGAATATTTGAGTGAATTGCATTCCTATCAAAAGACAAAAATAAAAAAAAACAAGTTTCTTATTTATTGCTCAACAGTCATTATAGACATGAAATAGTGGCTGGCACAGTATCGGTTAATTAACTCAAGAGAGCATAATCAGAATGGCCACATACACGGTGGTCACCTTTGAGTAATAACCAAAATATCACGAGGCACAAACTGTTGCGAAATGCATAGAGACAACATATCGGATTTTTATGACAAAACCTTGGGGAGTAGATATGAAATATAGATATTTATAGAGGGTGTATCTAAATAACACCGAAACAATTCAAGGGACGATTCCATGTGATATTTTGGCAAATAAAGTTCATATAATCATGTGTCCTAACTTGCTCCGTTTTTGAGATACAGGGTGTTGAAGTTGGAAGTATCAATTGTTTTTATTTATAACCCCCCTGTATAAGCTTTCATGGTGCCAAAATTCAGTATGGTTAGAGACTGAGGAAGCCCTAAAATTTCAAAATGATTGTAATTGGGGTTATTGAGTAATCTCAATGGAAGTCTTGAAAACACCTACATTAAAATTTGGAGTCAAATCGAATTCTTGTTTCCTCAAGACCTAAGTTAGATACTTAAATCACACAATGAATAAAAAAGCTGTTATTTTCAATAGTTCAATCTGATAAAAAAATGAAACTCGGTAAAACCGGTGGCGTACAATTACATTCACCATAAATATCGATTAATTCACCCACTGTGACGCCACTGGAAATATTATTTTGAATCTAATTGCACCCGGAGAAGCCACATATTACTATCAATAAAACCACAACGTTTTATTGAAATTGATGGAAAGATAACTGAGTAATGAATAAAAAAACGATTTTTCATCGAAATATTAATACCCTGTTTTCTCGAAAAAGAAGCAAGTTAGAACACATGTTCATATGAACTTTATTTCCTAAAATATAACAAGGAATCACCCCTCAAATTTTTTCGTTTTTATTTAGATACACCCTGTATAACAAGGTGTTTCAACTACCCACATAACCCAATATCTAGACTGCTAATTCTATACGAGAAAAGCTCCTCCAATTACGAGATGGAATAGGATTCTATGAAGCATGCGCATTGAGGACTATTTTTCCCGTCTCAGAATAGTATATTGTGCGACAAGTGGGAAAAGTTCAACTTTTCTCACGACTGCGAAAGTTTGTTGCACGAGCCTGAAGGGCGAGTGATGCAAACGCACGAGTGAGAAAAGTGATTTTCCCCACATGTTGCACACTATACTTTTTCTACAACTGCACTTATTCAAAGAATCCGAGTAATGTAACTAATTGGTATTGATTTTATAATGGGGCACTATGCCACATTGAATATTTCTTAAGATAAAGTGATGAAATACAAACTATAAGCTCTTATTGAGCTGTAAATAATGGTTCCCTAACATTTGCTCACCCGCACTATGCGCGGTTAAAAATAAAATTAATTTTTTCATGTTTTTTATTAAGTAAACATTTTCCACCAATAATGGTAGGTATATTTAGATTTTCTAATCAATACTTAAAACTAAAATAAGCTTCTTACAGATTTTCTTTTGACAGATTTGCTGATGATGAAGGATTGATCCTTCGAAACATGTCCTTACTTATGCCCATGACCGTTGGTGGTGGTGGTGGTGGTGGTGGAGTTGTGACTGTAAGTTCTTTCACCTCTCCTGATTTATATCACCTCCACCGTAAGTTATGGATCACCTACGTTGGTTACCCTAAAGAATTTTGAAAACTTCTTCTGACAGTTGTGACAACTATTCAAAGTTGAACAGCAGCCAAGTTTTGGTCGGTTTTTGTTGATTCTCCATGGAAATGTATGTGGTGTTGGCAAAGTGCCGTTAGAAAAAATATTTCTCACAGTATGGGCAATACATGGTTTTGAAACTAAGTAAGCTATGAGAAATAAGCTACTTTTCATAGGAGTAGTAGAAAAAAAAGTTTGTATGGGTGTATAGTCAATTGATGGTACTCTAATGACGTCAGAGCACCTACCATTATGGTATCATTTGAAAGAATGTGGTTTCGAGTAAAATAACATTTCGTTTTACTTTTTTGGTATGTCGAACCACAATACTACCTAGTGTAGGATTGATTTGGTCTTTTTAGAGAGTTTAACACTATCTAGATCACAAAAGAAACTCGAAATGTATTTCTGGAAAAACCATCAGAAGTTGTTTCGTTTTCAAATATGTTAAAAAGTGCCGTCTAGTCTAGTGAGCATATTCAATGGTCTGAATTTCAGAAATATAGCTAGAGGAACAAAAGGAGAAAATGGAGTAGGTAATAATCATTAAATAACTCCATATTGTTATTTGACGAACTCTGATGAATCTCAATCAATGGCACGCATTGTGAATGTGACCACCCTGTACAGATAACCAACTGACCTTGTGAAGACATCAAATTCGAAATTCGATATGTAATCGTTGCAGGTGAGGTCGATCGTGGACTTCAGAGCCATTGCTTCTAAACCGGAACTGATGGGGTGAATTTTGTTCAGCTCCTGCCTGAATATTTTCCATGGTACCAGAGTGCTGAAACAAAATACAAAATCTTTAGTAGAAGTCCATGATGCTCAAAGTGAAGTGGTATTGTCAAAGAAAGGCAGAGAAGCTCGAAGTCATCTCCACACAATTTAATGAGGTTTCGGTCTCAGAAGAGACCATCTTCAGCCTATTAAGGAGTTCTACAATACAAACAGGATTGGTATGACGAAATAAAAGTATTTGGTTAAGTTACGTGTGTCTCACTTCTAATGGAAATACCCCTGTATCTTACGTAATCGTTGGGTAAGGATACTGAAATTTGCTGGAGCGAGAGATATACCAAAAATGCACTCATGACTAAGTGGGGTCATCTTCAGTGATTTACACTGCTCGCCAACAGCCTTGAAACCACCCCAATTTCCGGAAAATGATATTAGGAGGCAAAATAGGTTTGAAATCACTTCGGATTCGGAATCAGCAACGAATCAACACGCCCAATTCACTGACTGTTCCTTATTTTTTTTCCGTATCTTACGTAATCGTTGGGTTAGGATCCTGACGAGATGATCCTGAAATTTGCTGGAGCGAGAGATTTACCAAAAATGTACTCTATGACCGAGTGGAGCTCATCTTCAGTGGTATACACTGCTCGCCAACAGCCGTAGAACTACACACTTGTCCGGAAAATAATATCAAGACAAGATAGGTTGAAAATGACTTCGAATTCGAAAACAGGACGTCCAATTCACTAATTTCCCATATTTTGACGCATTATTATCGGTAACGATTTTCCTCGTACTATTAACGAATTCATTCATTCATAATTCATTTCACTGACACCCGTCATGCTTTCTGATCCATTAGTTCACTCCTGATAATCTATTCGATTGTACTAGTTCTGATTGTTATTTCATTATCCCTGGTGTGAACGGACTTCATGATTATGAATCAGAACAACTGAATTTTCCAATTTAATAATTTTTTCGGTAGTTCTGTAGCTGCTGGCAAGCAGTGTATCATTGAAGATGATCATACTTGCTTCTAAAAATTTCAGACTTCTGGATCAATAATTACCCAAGTGCTTTCATGAAAAGTGAGACAGAATCCATTATTTCAGAACTGAGAATTTTTCAGAAGAAATATGAGTACTTGGTGAATTAGACGTTCTGTTTTCTGTTCTCGAATCCGCAGTGTTTTCCAACCTATCTTGACTGCTAATATGATTTCCCGAACATGTAGGTGGTTCCATGGATGATAGCGAGCAGTGTATATCACTGATGGTAATTTCAATTGGTCATTGACTGTATCATTGGAATATTTTTTGTTCCTAGAAATTCGATAACTAAATCGATAATTCCGTAATAAGATACGGGGGTGTTACAATGACAAGTGAGACAAAAATGAAGAAGTGAATTTTTTTCAGAAAAAATATGAACAGTAAGTGAATTGGGCGTCCTGATTCCGAATCCGAAGTGATTTCAAACCAATGTTGCCTCATCTGTCAGTATTTCCTGACACATGAGCATGTATGAGCATCAGCAGGCATATACAGGGTGAGTCATAACTATTGGGGATTGTTTGGAACAAAATATGGTGATAGGACTAAGACTAGAATATTATAATTATAGAATATTGCTGTGGAAAAAGATACAGGGCGTTGAACTTATTATTTTCGTTTTTTGCCAATAATTTCACTGTATATTCATCAATTCTTATCAAAATTGGCACAGAGGCATAATTTGATACAGGGAATATTATTTTATGTACTATTCTACATTTTGATACAGGGGGCGACACGTAATAATAATTCCTGATGATGAAATCGCCTGGTTACTTTTCTTGACGAAACTTTTGAGTGATTTTAATTGAAAAATATGACCTAAACATCATTTCTACGTAATATTGGTACTCTTGTTCGAACACGATATTTTCATCCGTTTTCGAGAAAAACGCTATTGAACAGTTCAGAGTCTCAGAAGTTAATTACAAATATTATTTCATTCATGAAGAGTGTGCTTTGAACTGTCAGATAATGTTGCTGGTAATGGCATTTCTTGTCAGAGAATGAATTTTGGTGAGAGTTTATAGTCAAAATTTTTTCGATTGAAATAATGCCTCGTCACAATCATTTTATGAATGAATAAATGCGGGATACAGCCAGAAAGTATGAATTTTAATATCTCTAATATCTAGGCAGAAAGCAACCAAATCACAAAACGTTCTCAAATATATTTCATATACAGTGAAATTATTAGCAAAAAACCGACAAAAAACGAAAAAAAATCAACTTTAACGCCCTGTATCTCTTTTCACAGCAATATTTTATTGAGGCATGTTTGGTCCAATCACCATATTTTGTTCCAAACAATCCTCCCTTAGCCTATGTCCCAATAGTTATGACTCTCCCTGTATACTATGACTATGACTAGATAACTTTATGAAATGTTCAACTTCATGGGAAGGTGGATTTAATTGATCGTCAAAATATCCTTCTTTCAGAAAGTGCTTGTCAAAAAATGTTCGCCATTTGAAAAATAATAGTTAGACACGAAAATATAATTTTGCCAACTTGTCTTACTCATATCTATCATACTTGTTACTGAAACTTCGCGATTGTAATTTTCTGATATCACCTGAGGTCCCCTTAGATTACTTCCGAGATTACTTCCGATCAAAGCCACCTAGATGTAATTTCAAAAGTGACTCCGAAAAAATTGTGTAGGCATAAAAACTTTCGGAAATGTCACATTACATTCTGATCTAGAATTGTCTCAGAAATCCAAAAATGTTACAATATACAGGGTGTTCCATTTAAAAATTTAGAACCAGAGCCATTTCTGGTGAAACCGGAAGTGACCGGAAAGTGAAAAATATGTGAAAACTCTCCTCTTCACATAGCATTTACCTATACCAAATCTCATTTTGATACACCTAATGGTCTAGAAGGTATGACTTGTCTAATAGATTCGTTGACACCCGGTATACCGAGATATATACTGTGTGAGGTACACGGCGTAATGAACGATCATTATGTGAAATTGTGGGCGAGTTAATAATGGTACAATGTAGAATTAGCCTTTTCCATGGGAAACTGATTTACGAGCAATTACCGAATCACTAATAATTGGTTATAGTGCTGTGCATGGGTCGAAGAGCTGAGAGCAATATCGGAAGGAGTCATCAAATCATTAAAGCTACCAGATCAATATAAATAAATGAAATAGGCGGATATCACGTTGAGTAACAGACTCAACATCAACATAGACAACGTGAGAGGTGAATTTCAGGCGCTAACATCGAGACATCGTTCATCAAAGTTTCGCCCTGAATTCAAATAATGCCCTGTATTTCTGTTACGACCACCCGAAGTTCTACATTGTAGCAAATCTGACATCACCTCTGTTCAAATTTCCATGCGGTAGGCACAATAACGCGGAGTTCAATCATTTAAATTGATTCAAAGTGGCGTATTTGATTCTTTTTTTTCGTATTTTGTTCAATTTTTGGGATGAAATTTCTCGTTAATTAGAAAAATCTGAAAAAATCTGATATCATGGGAATATTCCTTAGACTGTATCATATTAATGTGCTGAATATGTGCACTTATTTCAAAAACACCTTGTATATCAACTCACGTTGACTCCCTCTATCCGCCATTAGGCTATGGCTGGTTTGTCATGACTCACCTTGTATATAAATCAAATCCAATTAGTTTTTTCAGTTAATGGTATCAAATGAAGATCAGTCTTTGAAGTTAAAATGTATAGTACTTACCTACAGCGTGCGAATAGAGAAAAATGAGGTTCTAGAAAAAATCGAAAAACGTACAGATTTATGAAAAAGATCAGTAGTAATGATTGAAGAAGAAATATCATCATCTTTATTCTTGCAGACAAATACCTAAAATATAAAGTGAGTACACAGCGCTTTATAAACAAATATTGAGGAAAAATATGCCTATAAAATGATAAATAATCAAGATATGTAAATACCTATGACGACATACAAAACGAATCAAGGTAAAAACTACCTGGAGAGAGGCTTTTACGGACACATGCCCACTCATTAGTACTCATTCAAGTATTTTGATTGGTTTAGAAATTATATTAGACAACATTCTATTTGAGCATTATGTTCATCTATCGAATAGAATATCGAGAAATCTCGGGATATCGACTGTTTATATAGGTTTTCAATCTCTACCATTACAAGAAACTGATACTCGAAACGCTTACAATTATTATGTAATGTGGGAATAACAGACTTAAAAATGTTCACGGTGGAGTACATGTATCGGAAAAATAGAGCGTCCCCAGCAGCCGAAGAATGAAAAAGTCCTACAAAGGATAACATCTAAAAATTTTGAAAATTTATATGATTTGGATCCATATTCCATCCCAACACTCTTTCATGGGATAATCATGTCAGATCCATCGCAAAAGCTGCTTCACAAAAACTCGGCTTCTTGTTCCGTGCGAAAAGCTACTTTACACCTCAACAGCTTCTCATGATCTACAAAGCGCAGATACGGCCTGTTCTAGAATACTGTTCCCTCATATGGAGTTCAGCACCAAAACATACGCTGATGCTCTTAGATTCCATCCAGAGAAGAGCCATTCGCCTGGTGGGTGACGCCACACTCACTCACTCACTCTTTGACATCATTGGAACACCGTAGAAAGGTCGGCGACCTTTCACTTTTCTATCGATACTTCCACGGGAAATGTTCTTCGGAAATCTCTGCCATCATCCCTTCACTAGCAATACCAATCAGACGAACTAGACAAGCCCAGTCAGCACATCCTTTCGTTGTCAACCTCGAAAGATGTCGAACAGCACTTTATCAAGACTCCTTCATCCATAGAACGGCTAGGCTCTGGAATTCATTGCCTGTGGAAGTATTCCCAACAACATATAATCTCCAAAAGTTCAAAAAAAATTCCAATACCTACCTCCTGTCCCTATCCTCCCTAGGAACGCACGATGTTCTTTGAACATTATAGGGATTCCCCTCTCGTGCGCTCCAAGCGATAAAAAAAATATAGGGT